AGCGGAAACCCTGAAACCCGTAACTTTCATGATCTAAAAAATTGAAATTTTTCCACCATTTAATGCATGAAAAGGCTGAAAAAAACCGCATAAAGCCTGAATATTAGATCACATGGCAAAACAAAGAAGAAAAATGATAAAAAAAAGGTAAATTTTGAATAAACCCGTAAAGAACACTGTGCAGCCCGTGTTTTTCATAGGACTCGCCGATTCGATACAGTGGAGATTCACTGTACAGAATCGCCCGGTTCTCTCTAGAATCGGGCGATTCAGTGTAAAATACCGGAACCGGCACGGACTGTGCCGATTCTCGAGTCGAACCGGGCTAGTCCAATTCGACTCAACGTTTTTTAAAATACTAGGATTAACAGTTTGGTGACAACTCATTAATCATAATTAGTTGCACTTAAAGGAATTAAGACAAGAGTTACATGTGGATCTCAACTCCTATATACCATGAATGTGAGAGTTATAAAATAAATGTGTTATCTATAAAAGGACATTAACCTCCTTAAGAGAAAAAAAAAGAGAAAAATGATAGAAAAATAGAGATGGAAGGTGAATGAGATTCACCAAGACGACTCTCAAGATAGTCTTTCACTGGATGACTTGGTTTATAGGTTTTGGTATGGAACTTTAAGTCCCTCGCGTGATTTTAAAGGCAGATCCGAATAACTTATTTATCGATTTTATTTATGGATAGATCCGAGTAACTTGTTTATCGATTTTATTTAATTATTTATTAATTTTCTTTATTAGGACTAACAATGGTATCAGAGCGAGGTTTTAAGATGCGAGGGCTTGGCAAAACCTAGTGAAGTTAGGCGAGGGTATTTCCTACCGGGTATATGCGATGGTATCTCTTGTCCAAAAGGAATGTGTGATGGTATCTTTTTCGTTGAAGGAATAGTCCGAGGCTTGAGTGAGGGCCAAAACCACACACCACAGGGTTGTTGGGGCCATCAGCATGTCCCTGAAGCCACTTGACGTGGCTCTTCACAGTGAAGAAAGAGGTAAGGATGAAGTTTTAGTGCTTCATTGCACAATGCATCTTGGCCAATTGTGGTTAAGCTACAGTTGTTTTTATGAAATATTTGGGACAAACCTTGTCTCATTCAGGTGTATGTTATGGCAAAAGATTGCATCATACCATTACCCTAGGGCACAATCCTCTACAAACGGCTTGGTTCTTCAGTCCGAAACTTTAAAGAGAGAGAATACAAAACAATAAATGGGTTTTTTTTTTTTTTTTTTGAGTTTTGGGTATGAGCATGGAACTTATCCGTGGCTGCAACATCCAAAATAAAAAGAACTTCCATGATTTTCGTGGCAGACTTCCTTCTAATTGCGCCAAAGTCTTCATTTGTAAAAAGTTTTGTCCTCTAAGGACCATGTCCAATATCAGAAAGTGTTTCAAAATAATTGGTAAGCTCCAAATACAAATTTTTTATTTTGGCAAGTTTAAATATGAACAGTATTTGGTAGGTTTTAATTATAAAGTATTTGTGGTAAGTTCTTTATTGCCTTAAATTAGAATTTGATAGGTTTCAATTACAAAGCTTTTATGATAAATTCTTTATTGCCTTAAATTAAAATTTGGTAGGTTTCAATTACAAAGCTTTTGTGGTAAGTTCTTTATTGTTTTAAATTAGAATTTGGTAGGTTTCAATTATATAGCTTTTATGGTAAGTTTTTTATTGCCTTAAATTAGAATTTGGTAGTTTCAATTACAAAGCTTTTGTGGTAAGTTCTTTATTGCCTTAAATTAGAAATTTGTTGACATTCTAATTTATCTTAATAGTATGAAATGAATGCAAATCAATGCGCAGTCCTATTTTGAAATTTAAGTTACTCTCTCTTTCTCTCTACCAAGTATCCACCCTCACTCCTCATTATTTAAAAAAATAAATAAATAATTTATAGAAAAAGGTTGGAAGATATTCCTATTTATTTTATGGCCCTCTAACAATTATACATATTATGATGAGACAAATATTGGTTATTAATTTTATTTAAAGAGATACTTGATTTCAAAAATTTTCATGTTGATCAATGATTATGAATATTTCAAGTTCAACAGTATATGTATATTTGTGTTAAGATTTTTATTCCCCTTTCTTTCTACAAGCATTAAGAATATTTTGTTTAGATTGATAATGTTGTTTATTATTTTTAACCAACTTGTGACTTACTTTTCAATATTTTTTTTGCTTACTACTTTTTTGTTTATTTAGAAAACTAAATATGTATCCATGAGGATGTGATGCTGAGCTATTATTTTCATCGAGATGTAACTATCATTGACATCCTATCATGGTTTGTGTATGTCCAAATGACATTAAAAATATTTAATGATGTATCATGTTAGATTGAATTATCATATTGGTGATAGTTGTTCATTAGATAGTGGGAGTAAATCATCATGTACTAAATTAGAATTGAATTTGTTAGCTCTATAATTATTAATGCACATTAAGAAAGTGAGAGGAATTACTGATCTAGCATGCTAGAAGATATTGGACTAATTTTTATTATTATGATGACAACCATATTAAGAATAGTAAGAGCCATTATTGAATAGGTTGATAACATCATCAATTTGAAACTTATTGAACATGTAAAAAGGAAATGATATTATATTTCTTTATTTTATTATTATTAAGGTTGAGATCAGTTAAACATTTCTTTATGTATATAGTAATACCAACAGCTTTGTCAAATTATTATTGTTTTTATTATTTTGATCTAAGATTCAAATTTGAGCTTTGGACTTAAAAACCAGTTGTGGACGACATGTTTAAGAAACAAGTGAAAGCAGTAGGCCTTTTTCTCTTGGCTAAAAGATAGATGTAAATAAAATTCAACGTGTTGGTGAATAATTTATAAGGTATATGAGAAATCCCATACAGGTAGCATGAGACAATGTCATATACAGAACCATCGAGGCAAAGAAATCTAAGTGTGGTGTTTGACTACATGGATAGTGTATATGTGAAATCCCATGCAAGTAGCATGATGCAATGCTATATACAAAGCTATTGAGGTCTGAGAATCTAAGTGTAGTGCATAACCACATTGGTATGGTATATGAGAAATCCCATGCAGATAGCATGAGGCAATGCCATATACAAAACCATTGAGGTCAAGAAATCCAAGTGCGATGTTTGACCACATTGGCAGGATATATGTGAAGTCCCATGCATGTAGCATGAGGCAATGCCATATACAATGTTAATGAGGCCAGAAAATCTAAGTATAGTGTATGATCATATTGGTAAGGTATATGAGAAATCACATACAGGTAGCATGATGCAATGCCATATACAAAACCATTGAGGCCAAGAAATTCAAGTGTGGTGTTTAATCATATTGGCAGGGTATATGTAAAATCTCATTCAAGCAGCATGAGGCAATGCCATATGCAAGGTTATTGAGGTAATGAAATCTAAGTGTGGTGTATGACCACATTGGTAAGGTATACGAGAAATCCCATGCAGGTAGCATAAGACAATGCCATATACAAAACCATTGAGGCCAAGAAATTCAAGTGTGGTATTTGACCACATTGGTAGAGTATATGTAAAATCCCATGCAAGTAGGATGAGGTAATACCATATACAAGGTTATTGAGGTTAGGAAATCTAAGTGTGGTGTATGACCACTCTAGTAAGGTATATGGAAAATCCCATATATGTATCATGAGGATATGCTATATATAAAACCATTGAGGGCAAGAAATCCAAGTGTGATGTTTGACCATATTGGTAGGGTATATGTGAAATCCCATGTGGAAAGCATGAGGCAATGCCATGTATAAGGTTGTTGAGGCCAAAAAATCTGAGTGTAGTGTATGACTACATTGGTAGGGTATGTGTGAAATCACATGCAAATAGCGTGAGGCAATGCCATATATAAGGCTGTTGAGGCCAAGAAATCTAAAAGTAGTGTGTGACTACACTAGCGGGATATGTGAAAATCCCATGTGGAAAGCATGAGGCAATACCATGTACAAGATGTTAAAAGGCCTTCAGGCCAAGTAGGAGTTATTGGAAATGTGGCCTATCAAGCCCTTTTTCTTTCGGAAATTAATGTTTTCAATAATGATACAAAAGCCATATTGAAGTATATGTGAAATCCCATATGGTTAACATGAGGCAATGCTATATACATGGATCTATTTTTGAGCTTAATATGATGTATCTCTAAAGGGAAAAACGCAATATCATTGGAGGGAAAACCCAATGGTGTGTTTGGATTCCTTGTAAATTGTGAGGATGCTTAGATGACATCCTATTATATGAGTCATTAGTGGAGTAATGACAGATCTAGCTTATTATATAGGATTAATAGTTTGGTGACAAATTGTTAATCCTAATTAGCTGCACTTAAAAGAGTTAAGGCAAGAGTTACACTTGGATTTCAAGTCCTATAGACAATGAATGTGAGAGTTACAAAATAAATGTGTTATCTATAAAAAGTGGTTAACCTCTATAAAAACCAAAAACCAAAAAACAAAAAGAGAAAAATGATAGAAAAATAGAGATGGAAGGTGAAGGAGATTCACCAAGAGGACTAAGAAGATAGCCTGCCACTGGATGGCTTGGTCTATAGGTTTTGATATGGAACCTTAAGTTCCTCGTGTGAGTTAAGGACATGTCCGAGTAAGTTGTTTATCGATTTTATTTAATTATTTATTAATTTTCTTAATTAGAACTAATACAACTAACTCCAAACATGACTCAAGACTCCACTTCATGTGCTGCTGCACTCCTTGTAACCCGACAACAATGGCATCCTCTCTTTCTCTTTCTCCATGCTTCAATATAAGACCAAGCTTATCACTTCCCATTTTCACTACCACAAGCTCTTTCTTGCACTACAAACTCTTATATTCTCATCTTGTCTTATCTTTTTTCCTGATACAAGCATAAATTCCTCTACTTGCCCAAAAGAAGAATATTAAGTTCCTCTAAACTTTGTATTGAGCCGTGATTAATTCAATGAGGCTCTTGGAGATAGCACGCAAATGGCAGAAGAAAGCCATAGGTCAGAGGAGGAGAATGTCCCTCAAAAGAAATACTAGTGATCGAAGGGATTCAGCTGTTGTTGATGGTCATTTTGTGATTTATACAGTAGATGGAAGCCGATACATGATTCCCTTAGCCTTTTTTAACCGCCCCATCTTTCGAGAGTTGCTCTTGATGGCTGAAGAAGAGTTTGGATTCATAGGACGCCATCCTCTAACTGTGCCTTGTGATTCATTTGTGGAGTACATAGTCTACCTGTTAAACAAGCATGCATCAAAGGAGGTGGAGAAGGCATTGGTTTCCATGGCATGTTGCAGAGCCTCTCATCCTTCTCTAGCCCTTCAAGCATTCTCTGAGCCAATGATTCTCCATAGCTTTTGAGGCGTGGTTGTTAATTGAAATACTAACCCAAAGATTCAATTTGAAGGGACAATTCAACCATTTCTTGTCTTTCTGCATAAAACTAACAATTTTGTGTCTAAACAATTCTTGGTTGTTAATGAGGGTGGGCCTGGTTTTTTCCAAAGCCTGTTTCAGGTTGGGTTCGGATAGCTTGTTAAGGCCTGTGGACCTGGCCTAGTAAGCCCGAAATACTTTCAAGACCGGCCAGGGCCTGCACTTACCATATTTATATATTGCTCGGCACAAACTTTGGTCTTGTCTTGGGTCTCGTTATCATGAATTTGAGCATGAGAATTGAACAAATATTTTTGTGGCCAACACGGGCTCATTAACAACCTTATTTTAGTTACCACTCTATGTTTACAAGGCATTGGGACGGTTTAATTTTTAATATGTCATGTTGGGTGTGGTTTGCATAAGGTTGCAACTTGCAACCATAAACAATCAAAATATGGTGTACCTCCAAACTTTGTCATGAGATGTAAATTTGGTATCGAAATTTTTTAGCATGATGAGAGAATCTATTTTTATTTCTAATTATAAAATTTTAAATTACAAAAATAGTTCAAATCAAGCATGATGTATTATTTTTAGGACTTGAAATCTCTTCTTTTTTTTTCTCCATATCTATACATGTCATTGTCGAGATAATCAATTAGATGCTTTTCCAATATTAAAATAGTCTTTTTCGAAAGATTTTAAAGGTGCACCTTAATTCTACATGCATTAACACTGTATAAACCTTTTACTTTCATGTTTGATCTATTTATGTGCTAGATGTGAAGACATTTGTTTATAGATCATTTTTCCTCGATGAATATTTATCTTTGTGGAGAACTTTCCTCGAGGTTGCTCTGGATGAATTGTCTTTTTTTTCTTTTTTTCTAAATATCCTTTTGGTTCTTAATTTATTCCAAATTCATCCTTATTGATCCCTCTCTTGTTAAATTTATATATATCTTTGTATTTATCATTATCACTTTATAAGGGGCTCTTTAAGAAATGCATGTGCGACTTCTAGTTGTTGTTATTGTGGTGATTAAATTTAATGCATATCTCATCAAATTTCATATTCCCGAGGTAGATTAATGTGATGTTAAAAGTTTTTTATGTTAAAATATGTATTATCTATAGATAGGAATATTTTAAAATAAGGCCTTACATTTACAGTAAAAAGTAAAGCCCTACCTTAAAACTCACCCGAAATTACAGTTCTGGCATCAGAAAACCTTCAAATATATAATCTTGACCTTGACTATTATGATTGTAAATAAAAAAAAAAGATTTCAAACCACAAAAATAACATATATTGTAAGACATTATCTGGACTGACCATTTTCAAGTCTTCATGGATTCGCAATATCTGTACTATTCTTTGAGCTACAAATTTTATAATCAGTGGTGGAAATAGACTTCAAATCTATAATAGAGATTTTCCATACCAAAATAAATTGAGAAGACGTTTCAAGATTGAAGCTTTACTTGTTTTCCATAAGGCTTAGGTTTCACAACAATTGTGCTAAATAACTGTTGGGAAAGGTTTCTATACTTCCCCTACCATCCAGCCGTTCAATTTTGATCAAGAGAGCCACTCACCGTTTGATCTTAGATCCGATGTCTCAAAGTATTTTATTTTTAGTTTTTTTTATACAAATTGTGTAAACATGAAATTTGGTATGTGCCATCTTCTCATTGGGGAGCACCTATAAAAAATATAAAAAATAATTTTATGAAATATAATAACCAAAATACCCCTTGAATCTTTCAGGGGTATTTTGGTCATTTTATTTTATTAGAAATTTTATATATATATATTTTTCGCTAGTGCGAGTATAATAGAGGATTAGAAGTCCCAAATTTGGAGTCAAAAGAGTTTATAGAAAAAAAATTAAAAATAAAATAGTATAGAGATCCGACATTGTGATTGGAGCAATCTTAGTGCTCCATTCAGAATGAACAGTTGGATAAGGGGAAATATATAAGTTTTATGTTGTAGAGGAAGCATAGAAAGCTTGCCCATAACTGTTATCACACTTACTAGCATCATAATATAATACTTTGCTAAATAGTTTATGAAAATTATATAGTATTTTTAATTGAAAGCAAGTATAAATTATTGATTTTCTTATTAGTGTGCTTCCATGAGAGTAGATGACATTAGAGAAGCACGGTTGCAAAGAGTGGAAAGGCAAATGAAGTTGGGTCTTTGATTAGCTGGCATAGGTTGTTAGATGTTTTACATTTTGGTCTTTGAGTAGATTTTCATTCACCTCTATTTTTTTCTGCATTTTTTCCTAACATGCATTAGGCCCATGGTATATAAGCCAACCCTGCGGGTATGGCTTTCATTTTCAATGTCATATGGCTCCGGACCCGGACTTGGCCCTGGCTCGAGCAGAGTAAAGTACAGGACCCAAAACACCCTAAATATTTAAAATTTAAGAAAATGTGAAACAAAATAACATACATACTTTAAAAGTGAAGCAAACTATAATCGAACATAAGAAATGCAAACAAGCTGAAAAATATATAAAAAAAATTGGATTTATAAAAAATTTGAATTATGATGGGAGATATTTTTTTAAAACTTCATCCCCTCTCAAGTTAGAAAAATATCGATGATGATGTTGAATATTGATCCCATATTCTTGACAATGCAAAGGGAATATTGTCATTTCTTCGCATTATTAAAGAATTGATCTTTTCTTGAACCGACCCCAAATAGTTGGAAAAAAGTTGTGATGAAGATGATGATATCATTTCTTAGAAGTAGCTTTTATTTTCGGTTAATTGGATTTGAATGTTGTATGATGTCTTTGGCGTTCATTGCTTAACTGAAGAAAATAGGCTGAACTTCAGAGGATCCATTTTCCAGTTTGATTTTAGCAAAAAAAGTAAGACAAATTGTTGACGAAGAAGCTAAAGGAATGATAACATTTAGTGTATAAATATGTTGCATTTGATAAAAAAGGACGAGCATGTTAAAATTGTTAAAGTGTATTTTCTAGAAATTGTATTAGTCACTATTTTTTTTTATCATGAGTGATATAGTGAGGTTGCACTTGTAAGTTTGTGTAGCAGAAAGTTATAAACTAGTAGGTGGTTAGTAGTTATTGATGTAAGTTAGAAATTATTATTGTGAGTGGAGAGTTATTACAGTAAATAGGGTTGTAAGAACCTCTATTTAAAGAGAGGTATGTGGTGGGAAAATTGGCTCACATGTTTAAGGCTAATTTTGGGTATCGAAATTGTAATACCTTTTGTACCCCTGTGTCACTTGTATTAAGGTTAATCTTGGATGTCAAGATTGTAATGCCTTTGTACACGCCATGTTTTTCTTTAATGAATGTTTTTCTTCCACTTCATCTTGGTAATTCTTCTTCTTTCTAGTTGGTTGTGAGTCTTGGGCTAGTATGACATTGTTACACTAATTGAGAAGCGGATTGTTCTGGTGTTGCGGCATCCATCTTTCTACACAAAGCAATAGCTTTGTTCTGCCTCCAAATAAAATTCTGAATGCAAGACTACTGGCGAACTCAAAATCCATGTTGAATCATATTTTCAAGGGCGGTTTGATGAAGTGCTAGCAAAGTGAGAGAGCTTCTACAAGAGACCATGGGAACTAATGCTTTCTCCACTCTTTTGATGCGTTCTTTCTAAATAGGGAGTCTATGTGCTCAATTACAAAGGCCTCACAGGGCACCCTTAGAGGACCGTATCCTGTGAAACCAAACTCTTCTTCAGCCATCAATAGTAACTCTTTAAAGATGGGACTGTTAAGATAATCCAAAAGAATCATGAAGCGGCTTCCATCTATTGTATAAATGGCAAATTGACCCTCATCGGCTACCAGTCCAACTTTCTCACAAGTAGTTGCTTTATGGGGGATTCCCATCCTTTGTCTTTGTCTCAAGACTTGCTTATGCCATTTGTGAGTGATCTCCTTGATCATGTTTGAGCAAGGAGAGAAAACCACAGGTGATTGTGAACTGAAATGGTGGGTAAACTTTGAATATGAGGAGGAGGTGATGATGGAGTGATATGGAGGCAATAGATTTATATTGCATATTGGGGAATGTACTGTGGCGCCAAAACATGGCCAGAGAAAGAGAAGGGGGTATTATGAGAGATACAATAAAAAAAAATCTGATTACACATGTTGGGTTGCAAGGAGTGCATTGGCACATGAAATGTGCTTTCATATTTCATAGGCAAATTCGACCCCAAATCATTGGGATGAGGCTTGAATAATGATGATTTCATTTTCAAATTACGGCCATAGGTTTTAAAGTGCTTAATATTCAACAAAAGCCTATGAGACCATGCTGGATAGGGCCGAGATATTGGTGAGGACCTTCATTAAAAACTGTCCATATGGCAAAGGTCGTTAGGCAACATCCCATGAGGCATTGTTTTTTGAGACTTTATCTCAAAACCAAACCACTTCCTTTAGTTGAAACTATTTGTGAAGAGCTCAAGCAAGCGTTTAATCCTTGTGGGCCAATTGAGTGTTGTCTATAAAGGCAAGTGGAGACGTGATGCCCTAACTAACTCCAAAACATGACTCAATACACCACTTCATGTGCTGCTGCGCTCCTTGTAACCCAACAACAATGGCATCCTCTCTCTCTCTC